ACCACCCAAGTTGCAAAAGATTTGTCTTTTGCAGTGGAACACACTCATTCACCATATTTCCTTTATGAACGATAAAATAAGATATTTTAAAGGAAAGGAATGCCCTGGAAAAAACAATTTGCTAATTGCTATGGAAAAACTATATTGCTAATTATCAGACAATGGTTCTGGTATATCTCAGACTTACTGAGATCAAGACTGAGGCAAGACATGCATGTACACCATAAGCCCTTTACCCCTCATTTCTACAAAAATATAGTAGTTGATGTTGGCACTGAGCTCAACAGATGGTCAGAGCAGTGGGAACTCAACAAATATAAAAATGTAGCACCTATGGAGTACCTAAAATTACCTAGGTGCTTATAATACTATCCATAAAGTTTAGTTCTGTGAGTACTATACAGGAGTTTTGTCCAGCTTCATGAGGAGACATTTGCCTTGAGTTTGTCACTTTGCCAGATACCTGAAACCCCACATGTGACTCGCTGTGCTAAACATCTCAAATGGCAAGTGACACAAAAGCTACATGGTAAAGTGAAGAAGTTTAACACCTACTGTTTTTTTTCACTTCTCTCATCTTGTAGGAAGGATTTTGTCAAGTGTAACACCCCTTACCCCCTGCAGCATCAAGTCCAAGACTTTTCAGCATTGGCTTATGAAGCCCTAGACTGTACATCTGATATTTTGTCTGGTTTTATTCTTTTGGAAAAAAAAAGAAGCTTAGAAAGTGGATCTTGAGAGCCTGCCCAAGACTGTGGGCAGTATAAAACTGTGATCTATAAAAAGGTGATCTGATGGGCAGTGTTTCACACATCACAGTGAAATATCACTTCCAAACAGTGACACAGCCAAGAATGAACAAAGGTTATTCACTTATAATTTGGGAGAGTTTGCTCACTTCATATCTAGCTGGCAACCTCAATTCAAGGAGTTTTCCTGTTACACTACTGTCTCTGACATGTCCCTCCCTGGCTGACACTCAGCAGAGGAGTATGCTTGGTACCAGCGTGCCAGCAGGCTTGCACTTGAGTCTGGTGCTACAGGGGTGATGGGGACAGGGCAAGAGAGGGCAGCATGCTCCAGAAAAGGGGGAGATTTAACCTCTTACATAACACGAAAGGAAATAATCCGAGTCAAAATCTGGCATCTCAGGCCAAAATACAGCATATTTTAGATGAAGGTAATAAAAAAGCACTATGAAAACGTAAAAAATGAGAAATATGATACATTATAGTATTTGTTTGCCACATTGGAATGACTAATAGACTGGGTTAGCAATGAATCTTTGATTTCTGAAGAAACATTAAAATTAGATGAACTACTGGTTTATTAATTTCTGGAAGAACAATTCTTCCTTTTTTTGCAGTGTAACAAAAAATCAAGTCACTGTGGAGACAGAGAAGCACAAACAACCATCAAGGTTCAAAGTGACATTGTAAAAGGAGTTTCACCTTTGGGCCACTGGTTGATTTTTAAAAGAGGAATTGAAACATGCCTTTGGGGAGCTGTTTGATGTCCTGGGTCAGCTTGATCTCAAACACAGCTTAGTTCCTAACAGACAAGTGTACTCATCATAAGCACTGCAGTAACAGATAATAACCCTGACAAAAAGAAAGGAGCATCCTTGAACCAGTTTTCCTGGAAATAATGTGTCACAACAGCCATTCCTTTGCAAAAATACAAAAGCACCTGTTTTAATCTCCCCAAACACCTAAAGCTGAACTAATGTTTACTGGATTCTATAACACAAATACAAACACTTCATCCTCCCTTCTCAGATTCTGAAGGCTTGCAGGTAAGGCTGATCCAGACCAGGGCTGCTGCCTTAGGAACTGCTCTAAATCACATTTGAAACATTTTGGTCATCTTCAGGTATCTGTGATCATCAGATACTTCACTTTTTCAACAAGAATATCCTAGCACTGGTTTAGCAAGGCTTGCTTAATGGTTTTTTAACCCTTTCAGGCACTGGAAAAAACCTGTTGTGAAAAAATATGATAGCAAACCAAATAAATAAAGCCAACCAACCTATCTTCCCACCTAGATTTGCAAATTCTAGCCAAACCTAATTTGGGATTTAGTGTTGCAAAGGAACAGCTTTTTTATATTTCCCTAATGAAAAAGAAAAAAAATGGAATTGAACACTTTAAAAGAAAGATGAGGAAGACAATTACATAATTTTTAAATGAGCAGTCTTAGAATCAATGGTCACCTCAAATGGTAAAACCATATCATAGAATACCTCACCACAAACCTCCCCTTTCCCCTGATTTATGCTTCATGAAAAAGCAAAACAACAAAACCATAGCTACAGACATTCCTCACTGCTGGGCTGAACTGTTCTCAAAACAATCCAATGTAAAGGCCACTGACAAATATTTATAATATTCTGCAGTCATAAAGAACCAGAGTGCTGTGTTTGGTGTAGATCACCTTGCTTGTGCATTAGGCTTCAGTCTATGGTTTGCTAAGGACTCTGAACTCATGGCCTCTCTCATCCTAAAATCTCAGAATAATCACTGCTGTTTAGTAGCATTTCGTTGCACGTCCATTAAAAATAAACATGCTCAAAATAGAAGAGATTAAGAAGCTACAGTCTCTTTGGCTATCTCAGCTATGAACAGCTCTGAAAAACACATGTAGTGTTGCCTTCTGTAGATCTTTCAAACCAAAAGAAGTAGGAGGAGAAGAATATTAATAGCATCTAATAAGGTGAATCCTGGAATCTATTTCACACTGAAAAGGGTATCAAAATTCAAGAGAAATTACGTCAGAAATCATTTGTATTGTTCAAGCAAGAAGTACACAATACTTTCTCTCACTGTTGCAGAAACAAAGACACCAAGTATATATTCAAGAAAATATTTAAATAAAATTGATGAAGTGCCAACACTTGACTGCTTGTTTAAATTGAACAAAATTATGAAAGCTGTTACAATTTGTTTCAATGTTATTATATACCATAAAGGCTCATTTAAGCAGGGAGAACACTGTAGACAAGGCACAAAGATTAGAAGATGACATAGACTTCTCCCTGGAACAGCATGAAATACAATCTAAAGCAGACAAAATTCTTTTAGTGGAGCTAATTTCTTCTCACTGGGACTTCATGAAGAAAAAGCATCAGCATTCCTTTATGCTGCAAGAACACTTTGCTCTTTACTTAACAGGAAGTTAAATGAACCAAAGCTATAGACAGAAAAAAAATTTCCACCATCAATTAATGTGACAAATTCTTAATAGGAAAACAAATCAGATTTATTTAAAAACCGAGGTCTTGGTTCTGGCATATTCATGTTTTCATAAGGCTGCGCTTATATTCCCAAAGTTTATATTTTTCATAGTTTATGCTTTCTGAGAAGTACAGATGTCCATGGGAGAGGGCTTTTTCCTGTATTGCTCCTGCTGAGTAGCCCAAAGACTAATCAAGAGTACCATGGCAAGCTGTAGCTGCTTATGCTCCAGGTGCACCACAGCTGATGAGAAGTGCAAGAGCTCAATATCCACTGCCATCATAAGCACCACTCACATTATCAACTTATGAAAATAAGGCATTTGAATGTTAAATTTTTCTCTCTTTTCCATAATCTGTCACATTCAGATGGGAAGCACAATGCAAGTCCCTGAGGACCCCCTGGAATGCTCCCAGCACCTTACCTAGGAAATAATTTTGATACTTTCACATTTTCTAAACATAGGCTGAGTGATGAGTTCTTATATTCCACCTACAACACAGATATGGTAGTGTGAAATTCTGGACCAGACATCTTTTCACAGGCACTTCCAGGCTGTGGAGGATGATGCATGGCCACAGCTTCTCAGTAGTGCTTACAGACTCTCAAATCAGCTCAGCCCACCATTGCCACTGCTGCATGACATTGTACTGAACCAATTCCACTTCACCCAGAAAGCAGGACAGAAGCTGAAGATGAATCCCTAACTGTTTAATAATAATATCCATTCATCCATACTTCTTGCCCAGTATAGATATTTTGGTTTCAAAATTAGACATGCATACATTTATTGAAATAGTCATCTTTGTGGTATCTCTGTAAACCCTATGTGAGTGAGAAGCAAGGGGTTCTGACCATAAATAACATATTCCATGATTCACTCTCTTCCACAAGGTAAAAAACAGCAGTTAATAAAATATTAAAAGATTCTAAGCATATAGCAGCAAGTAGTAAAACTAGCATGAGAAATGAACCAGCCTACTTCAGCCATAAAACACAGGAGATAAAGAACCTTAAAATTTAAAACTGATCATAACTTTTTTAATATCACTGTTATGAAACTTTTCTTTCTACCATTATTCAAATGGAAATTCACTAAGGCTTCACCCAGGCTGGCCTCCAGTTGGCATTCCTGTGCTCTGAAAGCCTCTATGCTAGTGTGGGGTCTCTTGCATGGGGGCACTGCCAGTGGTGGATCTCTCTCACAGCTTACAAGTTTCTTTGCCAACAAGCTGCTCTTCACTTGGAACCAGATACAATCCTTGAAACAAACCCCTTAACTACTTCAAACTTTTCAGAATTTTACTCCTTTATCACACCATAATGACTCATAGCTTTTTAAATGTCACATTTCAAAAATAATGTCGCTCCAGCATATAAAACAAAGAGAAAAAGCCCCGAATTTTGAAGTGAAAATAATAATAATTAAAAAAATATTTCTTGTGTATTGGAGAATTCCCCTCTGCCTTGGTTTACTATTTATAAACCACCAGTCTGGGATTAATTATTATAAATCCTTAAAGCCGAAAAGAAGATTTTAGGCATTTTATTCTACGAATAATCTATACCATTATTAAACTGCAGCTCAAATGCACTTTATGTCCTATTTCTGTTGATCACCATTTAACATTTAAGTATTTTACCTGTAGTAAATTTTACTCCCTGGGGAAAAGAATTTCTAAGTACTTTGAAAACATCAGCCCACCCATCTGACGTGGCAGTGCTCAGTGGGAGCAGTGTCCCCTGCCAAGCTCCAGGGACACTCACCAGGCACCCCGTCTCTCATCCAGAAAGCGATGTCTGTTCCATCTGCAGTGTTGTAAACAGCCGTAACATTGATGGGCTGCAGCAGAGTCATGATCTCTCTCACGATGTCCCGGGCTTCTGCACTGCCAGCAAAACCCAGTCCAGATGGCTTGAAGGTGCCCTCATCAGACTCCATAACGATATCAAAGTTGGAGATATTTTCCTAAACATGTAAGAAAAGAAGATATTGTGCTGTGGTTGTTATTTTAGCTGGCATCATACACTAGATTCTAGGTGTCATTGTGAGCATACCACAATTTTTTTTTTTCAGAAGCAGAAAAATGCTTCCTGTGAAATGTATTCACAAGCATAAATGAAGGGACCTATCTTTCAGTATGGAAATGGCTGCAACAGTTCATGTTCTGAAGTACCAATACTCTGCAGGACCCACAACATGACTGGTCTGCTGTCCCCAAATACTTGCTTTCAGACTTCTGAAGTGCCACCTAGAAAGGTAAACCATCACCAATATATTGCAATTTTCATTTGCAGCTCTCCCTTTCTTCTCAGACCTGAGACTCAGAAGTTCTTTTGCAGTGGAGAGAGTATGCAGTCCTGTGACATTAAAATTAGAGGCATCCAAAGCCTTCATTAACTGTGAGGAGCAATCTATTTAAAAGCCAGCTGTTCAGAAACACATTATTTTCAATATACCATACAGTCAATTCTGATATCAATTGGAGGATTGAAATGGCAAGGGTTTCCCCCAGACCAGAAGGAATAATGTCTATTTTAAGAAAAATCTGTGCTTCCAAGATAAATTCTCACAGGAAACATAAAAGGTAAGATTTTGTGTACAAGTAGCATAATAACATTTGCTTTTAGTGTGTACTTGGAAGAATCTTTTAAGCTTAAAGAACAAAAATTAGCAATTTCTTTACTTACCATATTTGCTTAAATTGCTTGGTTACAAAGGTCTAATTGGAATTAAGTACACAGGGATTTTACATGAATGAAGATCTCATTTTTTTTGGAGAGGCACATAACTTTTTTAAACAGCTCACGGTCATGTCAGGCAGAAAAAAGCTATACTTCAGACTGTCTTGAATGTGACTAAGAGAACTTACTCCAGGTTTTACTCCTCTATGCTCAGATCTCATGCATGAATTTTATTGCTACCATGGGTTATTTATTACACAAAAATTATTACAAGGGGTATGAGAAGCAGCAACTAACAGATCCATGCATACATAGGCCTATTTAAATTTTTCTATATCTAAACCCAACTACGTACTACAGGTTGCTGTGAATAATTCACGTAAGTTTTCAGATGTCCTTTACAGAATTTGCCAAGAACCGCTTAACACTTCCCCAAAACTGTATTCTTTTGAGTGAAACAATTCTAACAGAGCTGAGCTATTTACTCTTAATTTAGAAATTTATCCAGTAGTTAAAAAAATTAATATAAAATCTTTACATGATAAAGAAACTGTAAATGCTATAATACCTTAAGATAACCAATTTATCCACACATTTAACTACTGGAAATCAAAGTGCAAATAATGAATTTTGTCACCTCATTGGCAATTGGCATTTTCAGGCAGTGAAAAACATCTCCAGTTTGCAAAATATTAAATGTAAATAATTAGGTTACATATGGTGTCTAGGCCTATCATCAAATGCTGTCCTGAGGTCATGAGCCTCAACATGAATCATGATTCACAGACCATCTGAATACAGTGGGAGAGAAGCAGGCCTAGAAAAGTACACTGCAGGTTGAAAGGGACCAGTGATGTTCTAGTGTCACAGATACAATAGAAAGAATGTCTCAAAATGTAAATTTTCTTTATCAAATGACCAAGGAGGAAGACTTGGTAAAGACAACACACATTGCAGTGTGCCGATGAATTGCCAATGAAAGCTAACTGAACTATAGTGAGCCCTAGATAAATATTATGCTGTGGTACTCAGCTTCTTTGGTTGAGTTTCCAAAGCAGGACTTCTGTCCATTTCTAGAGCAGCTGAAATGAGGAGGAGCAATAAGATCACGGGAAGGGATTATTCAGGACAGTGTAGTGAGAAGAGAGAGCATAGGAACAACATGGACACCTAAAAGAAATCTCACTTATCACTCAAAACAACAGAAACCCTAATTTCAAAAACTTCATAAACTGCTACTATTGCAGAATTGCTGTTCTCTTCAGCTGTGTTTTCTCACATGAATGTTTGCATGTGTTTTTAATATGAAACCGAGTAAACAAACCACCCACAATACATTACACCATATTGTTGTTCTGTAAGAAAGCTCTTCAGTTCTGAGGATGCGCTAGAGAGGCATGTAAACAGGACACTCTGGGGAGAGAAACTGACTTCACTGGGGAACAAAAAAGAAACTGGTCACAGCTACTTGAAGTACCATGTGTCCTTGAGAAAGCTTTTTCCTTATTTGGTCCACTAGAATATAGGATTACTTATAAAAATACTCACCATCAAATTTGAAAGTTGCAGTCTTAAAAAAAAGTTAGATTGGTTTCCCTGCTCCCATTTTTGTACATCTACATTGGCATTTCTACTTAGACAGAAAACACATGCTGGAAAACATGCTTAAAATATACTGCTTACAAATAGTGAAGATGCTTTGTCATCATTTGCCATCTATGATGCAGGAATAATAAAATAACTCCCACTAACAAAGTGAGGTGAGACCATACATTTGACCTTGACTAATTCAAAGGAACAAACAAAGATTTTAAAAAAAATTAACTGCAGGCTCAGCTGTTTCCTTCAGTCATTCTTCTAGTGAACGTACCATTTAAATAAACATTTTAAACCAAATAATTTTTTTCAGAAAGTAATCTCATCTGCTGCATCTTGATAGTGTGCCACTTCTCCTGGTATGTACCAGAAAATTAAAACTTCTTTGTATAACCTGCTGCCTAATTCTCTGAACATCAAAACAGACTTTTATACTTTGCCTTCTTATGACTTGGTCACAGAGGAGATCACCTCTATTATGTCATCTTTAGCTCTTCAATTGAATTTTTAAATGAAATAAATATTGCATAGGAAAATTGACTTTCTATTTTCATTGAATACACAATTAGGCACAATTTTTACCAATACTTCTCCTATTTTTAATTTTAAAATTTTAATTTATTTTATTTCTGTTTTCTCTATAAACAATCTAGTTTTTATCTCTGCTAAGCAAAACAAAAAATATAAGTACTTGTCATCCCTAAGGCAAAAACCTGATAATGTGAAATCACAGAATCACAGAATGAACAAGGTTGGTAGGGACCACAGTGGATTGTCCAATCTAACCTCCCTGCTCAAGGAGGGACATCCCAAAGCACATGCCACAGGATTGTGTCCAGATGATTCTCGAATATCTCCAGTGAGGGAGATTCCACAGACTGTCTTGGCAATCTGTTCCACTGCACCCACACAAGTAAAGAAGTTCTTCCCCATGTTCAGGTGGAACTTCCTGTGCATTAGCTTCTGCCTGTTGCTTCTTGTTCTATTGCTCGGCACTACTGAGAAGAGCCTGGTCCATCCTCTTGACACCCTCCCTTCAGATACCTACAGACCTTGATGAAATCCTCTCTCAGTCATCTTCTCACCTTTTTCACCCTCTGCTGGACCTGCTCCAGGAGCTCCACATCTCTCTTGTACTGAGGAGCCCAGAAATGGATGCTGTGCCCCAGCTGTGGCCTCACCAGGTCTGCATAGAGGGGCAGGATCACCTCCCTCAACCTTCCAGTGCTCATCCTAGTGCACCCCAGGGTACCTTTGGCCTTCTTGGCCCCAGGGGCACACTGCTAGCACATGGAGAGCTTGTTGTCTATCAGGTCCATCAGGTCCTTCTCCATGAAGGTCTTTCTCCATGAAACATGACCTGTTTTTCAGCAGGTCAGCCCCCATCCTGTACTGGTGCAGGTCATTCCTCCCCAGGTGCAGCACCCTGCACTCACCTTTGTTGAATTTCAGATGGTTCTTCTCTGCCCATCTCTCCAGCCTGCTGAGGTCCTTCTGAAGGGCTGCACAACACTCTGGGGAATTGGCCACTCCTCCCAGCTTTGTGTTCTTGGGGAACTTGCTGAGGAGGCCTCTGCCCCTTCATCCAAGTTATTGGTGAAAAGTTAAACAATATTGGGCCCATACTGAACCCTGGGGGACACCACCAGTGACAGACCTCTACCAAACCCTGTGCCACTGATTACTGTCCCACTCTCTAGGATCTGTCATTTACCCTGCAATTACAGTAAACTCTTTCCATTGAGAAAACAAACCCTTGTAATATATATGACTGGTACTTCTGTTGGTAGGAAACATCTTCCTTCTGGGGTAGACACTGGCAATCCCAAGCAGGTATACCTTACAATAGCTACTTATTCAGTCAAAATCTCAATTGTTAATTCTTACCAGATGATAAACTAGACTGCAACATCTCATGACTAATCCATTGAGTCACTGACGGCAATCCCTCATACCTAGTTAAAGCAGGGACATACCTGAAAGTTTAATGCAGGGAACAGCCATCCCAAAAGCCTTCAGTACTTTCAGGCTGTTTAAAACAGAGTATAACTTGTCCAATGGCTCATTTACTGGTTTTCTTTTTCGTTCCACTGAGAAGAATTGCCACTTTACAGGAAAAATACTTAAGTCTGTAATGACAAAGCACTGTCCTTGACTAATGGTTCATTTGTTCCAGTGATAAAGGACATCAGTTAATCTGACATTGTGTTTTCAGCTTTCTCTTATTGATTTACACTTAACTTTAAGAAACAGCAACACTTGTATTCCAGTATTTGTCCCAGAGCAGTCAGGAAATAAGTATAGCATGGCAACAATGTTGTAGAACTCACAAGGAAGTGATGGTTATCCCACTTGTAGCACTAAAAAAAGGTTTAAATCAGCACCCAGCTTTGTTAGGCTGGCAGCTGAGACTACAGAAAAGAAAAGAAAAAACACTGGAAACACTTAAGTGCATGTGACAGCTAGAAAAGGAAAAAAAGTAAAATAAATAACATCCTCTAAGTATTCAATAATATATAAACATGATGTAGTGTAATTTTGAGTTGCTGTTTAGTGTGAAGGTAATTTAATGAAGCAAAACAGCATAAATTGAATCTAGAGGAAAAACACTGCAACAGCTGTTAGGAAGCAGAGATGTGCCAGCATCAAGGCATAAAAACCACCAGCTACAAGCGTGATCATACCATTTATACCCTTTGAATGGAGGCAGAGAAAATCGGGAACACTGTGAATTATTAAATTTTGTAAATTATCCCATCATTATATGGGAGAAGGCTGACGTAAAACAAGATTAGTACAATTTTTGCTAGATGACAAGGTATGAAAAAGGCTCATCCTCTTATTACAAGATAAAATATTCTTCTGCCAAATTTTATGGGAAAGCAGTATGTAAAAAAGTCTACAGGTATAGGGGTTTGGTACAGTTACAAGTTCTGACCTCTGAGAAGCCAAAATCTGTATTTCTCTGCAGCTCTCACAAGGAAGCTTATTCCTAAAACCTAAGAATTAGGAGTTCCTGTGGACCTAGAGCTGGTTTAAAAGATAATTCTGTAAATATGCTATCTTGATTGTGCTTAATACAATCAGTGGTGCTGTGGCCTGTTGTGATACTGGAGAACACAGTGTGATTACTTTCTTTCTGTGGTTTTGCAAATGGACATTTCACTCTTCCTACATTTCTTTTCATTTGCAATGAGAGGAATCAACTGGACATCAGTGACCTAAAAAGGCAGCAGTAATTTTATTAAAATTAAAATTTTAAATTACAGAGAGTATTGCCTGAGGAAAGTCAGAAGGCTAACAGTCAACACAATTTGCTGGGATAAAAGAATCCCCATTAAAGTCCTTTATATGTTTGGTTCAAATCAGACAAAAATTAATGTCTTACATTTCACCAGAGTACTTGGTACCTCAGCCTATTAAGTCTTCTGAAAACTATGGTTCTGAGGAGACAATATTTTCTGGAGAAGAACCATTTCCCCTGAAAGTTACAAGATATTTTTTTGATACTTGCTTCTTAGAGAAATCAACTCATTAGCAAATTACAGTAGAAATCTTGTGTGAGCATCAACAAAAACTACTTAAACTAGTATGAACAAAATGAAAGCATTTCAGCAAGTCCTGTTTTTGTGCAGACACAGTTTGAGCAAAATACCAGATCTTGGTAATAAATACAAAAAGAAACCACAGTAAACACTGGTGATTGATTTTTTTTTTTAATGTAGTTAAACCTTAACTAAAAACTTAAAACACTGTATAGTATTTGCACCAGAAATTAAGGTAAGTACTGTAAATATCATTAAGATAAGAATACCAACATGCAGAAATATTGAGAATGCCTCCTGTAATGGGTTTTGAATTGAATTCATAACACATTAATGCCTCCAGTGATCACAACCAAGTTACTAAAGTAAATTTGAATGTGGCCTAGGATCTCTTAGTCTTCTCATTACAAAATGTATTTGCTTTCCTGAGAGATTGTAGGCAATACTTCTATTCCAAAATAAATACTATCAGTCATTCATAGTCCGTTAACTCAGCTGAGTAAATAACTGTAACCTCGTTTCACAGTACACAGACCTTTCACAGAATCTAGTCCAAAGCAATGAAAAGGAGGACAGACACTTCATTACATATATTTCTTTCTCCCTTCATGAAGACAGCGTAAGAGTAAACACACAAAAACCTTAACCCTGGCTGAGGGCACTCAGGTATCGTTGGTAAAGGTTGTAGCAGAATCTGTACTGCAGAGTTGCATCAGGAGGCCTTCTACAATTACGTTTCTCCATTTCTTCAATTTGACTTGTATAAGAGTGCTGCAATGTTCCACGATTCTGAAATTATCCTGTATTGTCTGTAGACAAGAGCCCTACTCAGCAATTGGGTCACACAACACTAAGTGCTGGAAGAAGACTTCAGATGAAGTGTCAAACTCCAAGCTCTGCAGTCCGATTTGCACTTACATCCTTTAATTTCACTGCTCTTCATCAAGGTGAGGATCTTTAATGTTAAGGAAAATCAACCGTTTTTCTAGTCTGGGATTAAATCTAATTATTGTCTGGCAGCTAAAAGCAGTGAGCATTCAACAGGTATCTCCTTTGGAAGCAAAGGTGCTGGTAATTCCCCTGAGAGGCTTCTAACCCATGGTCAAAATCGAGCTGGTGCTCTGTGATGTGCTGGTGGGTGGGTGGCAGGTAGCCTCACGCTAATGGAGGCTCTGAAACTGCTGGAATATACAGGGCTTTCAGCTCTTGGAAGTGGCTTGGAAAAATCATGCAAAGAAAACAATGGACAATGACCATGTGATGCTCTCCAGAAAAATATTTGATAAACTGAAAGCCTGATTGTACAAGTAATGTATGTGTCTGAGCTTCACCTGACTGCACTGAGCATACACCTTTTTCCTAAGCACATATTTACTGGATGCTATCAGAAACAGGAAACAGCACTAGACTGTCTAGAGCACTAGAGCTTTTGATCAACAAGTATGGCAGCTCTTACATTCTCATAAAGCTCTGAACAGCTAATATACCCTATCACTACTTTAATAATCAGAAATGATAATACTGGGATCTAGAGAAAGACTTGAGTGTTATAAATAATGCTATTGCACAGGGATACATGTTAATTATTGGCACCACAGTAAAACCACTATGCTATCTCAGTTATTTCTGCAGTAACTTATCCACTTTCTAGCAGTGACAACCTACAATGATGGATGAGGAAGAAGGATCTGAACTTAAATTGAAAGAAATAATAAGTAAGTGACAAAAATAAGAGCATCTGTACTTGTCCAGTACTATATTGTCTTAATTTCTTCTCCCTTGCCACATTTCCACTGACATGAGGAGGTAATTTACAATGTCAAGGAAGTCCATGTCTGTGCTAAATTACTGCATTCATATTTTTACTTCTTTGTAGTGAACTAAACTTGTAGGTCCAGCCATGAAGATGAGTCATACAGGCTGTCTTTCATTTTACATGGCATCTTAAAATACCACTCTTATTTAACTTGTACTCATTACCACCAGCAATCAATGTGTGTGCCATACTATCCTAATTGGCAGAAATTTGAGCAAGTAAATCATTAAAAGGTTATTTTTCATGCTAAATTTAATGTACAGTATTAATCAACTTTATTTCATTATTATGAGTAATGCAATGTCCTATAGTCAAATAGATTTATAATTATGCCAGATCACATGGCAGGGGGAAAACGAGAACAACAAACAACAGACGGATGTCATTTCTGCTAAATTCTCCATGTAAATTATAAACTGGTAAGTCAGACAGAGCTTTCTTTGCAGAGCAAAACATCCAGATGGAATCTCACCAGCAGAGCAAGAACTGAGATACATCTTTGTCTCAAATTTTTTAAAAACAAAGTAACCAAATATCTTGCAAACAACACCCATCCTGCTTTATATTTCCCTATTTGATCCATAGGTCTGCTTTTTGGTATTATTTCTGAATAGAAATCTTTGCAACTACAGTGAAACAAAGCTATTTTGGCTAAAGATGAGAAATGCATGAGACAATTTCATGTGTTGCTGACATCACCACCATAGGATGGATCTTACTGTCCAACATGGACGTCTACAGAAGTAGACCTTCAGATACATTTCTGATGAGTGGTGTGTATTAGTCACAGAGCATCCTTCCAGCTCCTCCAAAATGCAGTTCTGTACATAAGAAGCATCTCTTTCATGTGCTACTTATTCCAGAATATTTTATTCTAGTTTAATTTTGGTGAATATCAGAGTACCTGTATAAATTCAGAGTGCTTAACATATAACTGCAACCTGTCACCTCCCTGAAGCTGAGAAAGCAAGCTCTTGGGTACCTCTTCCAAATAAATGACATAGCTGAGTTACCCCTAGAATCTGGAGATACAAGGAAGTACAACATTATACATGGGTAGTTAAATATATTTAGCAATATGAAATTAGTTAATGGGAAATATTTGATTGATCATCAATTAGCATTAACTGCTTTAAACCTATCTCTGACAACTCTAGTGCAGATGTAAGTTGATCTAATTTGGTTCATCACAATGAATTTGATTCAAAATGAAGTTTCCATTTATTTGTTCTGATAGGTTGCTTAGCATTAAAAAACGCTCTTAAGAATTGCTTATAAGTCTGTTTTCATGGTGTTGTAGAGCAAGTAACTTCCTAGGCATATTTGTATTCACCTTGTCTCTGTCTTGGATGTATTAACCATTGATGAGAGTTATTCTGCTTAATTAAGGAAAAGAATAAAAGATTACTTTGGAATAATTATACAGGTACAGCATTATTTTTCTTTGTAAAAAAAACCCCAAACACACACATATTCCAAAGACTTATCTCCAAAATAGTTTTGGCAACTGCCCTTTATCTCATGATGTGTTTTGAAATGGCAGTTGTTGGCAGGAGAAACAGATGTTATATTTTTATCCTCATAGCCATAAGTCATAGTGTTTCTGTGTTCTTTGCATCACCAGAAATCAACCTTTTAGATGTTCCAGATCCAACAAAACTAACAATTGGCTAAGTACATTACAGACTGCACACTATCAAGATAAGATAGCAAACATTTTTCTTTGTATTATTTTATGTTTTTCATTGTAAAATATTATGGGAAAATGCAACGAAGCAGAAATATATAAACCAAACAAAATTTATTTATATTGCAAACATATGCGGACCATTCATCATTCATTCATTCTCCCAGGGTTAGCTATGTTTGAAAGCTATGGCAGATATAGCCATGAAATATCTGTTTCAGAACACTTTTGTGACAGAGTATCTTAGGTCAAGTGGAACATGCACACATGTGGTTGGATCACTTGTTAAATGGAAAATTTAGATTTACATGTATGAATAAACCCATAAAATTTACTTTCAGGCAGAACTGGAATCACTGGTTTTGGTTAGATATTAAGCTGAATGTCTTGACAAAAGGAGTAGTCAAGTCATAAGACTGGGTGGAAAAGTGCTGTCAAGAAAATGGTGAAAAGACATATTTACCTTGTGCAACTGATAGTATTGCTTGGCACCTACTCCTCCTTGCTCTTCTCCTGTCCACAGCACCAAGCGCAGTGTCCTTTTTGGACGAAGTCCTAAAACACAGTTTTTAATATTGTTTTTAATATTAAATATAGATATATTTTGAGCATTTTGTGCATTGGTCTCCAGCCCCCAATGGATGAAAAATCTGTATTTCCACAAACAAAACACAACCTATATCAAGTGTGGGTTTTTCTGTCTAGAATACTTTTTTCTTGTTTAGGGAGAAAGACTGGGGTGTGGGGAGAGAGCCCACATGAGGAAGAAGTGGGCAGTTAAGGTGCTGCTACCAGTTGCAGTGGCGCAAGAGAAGCACATTTTGGGGTCATACTGAAAGTATCTGAAAACCACACCAGAAAGTAACTACCTTGATAGATTCCTCCAACATGTGCTTCTGTCGTGGTGGTCTGCCATAAGTAATACACATCCGCTCGTAGCAGATCCAAATCAAATTTTCATGAAAACTACCATTGCTTTGTGATGGTTAATTTATTACAATTAATTGAAAACGAGCTGCCAGATTATTATGAGAAATGTTTATCCATTTCAAGGACTGAAATATGATTTTGCTTTTTATCAGAGAAATGAAAAGCAGCAATCTGTACTTTGGAATCTGAAAGAGTCAGCTGCTAAGTGTATGCACGACTTTCTGAAAAAGGGAAACATGGAGCCGTTTTCTATTTTGCTATGGTAGCTCAAACAGAAAGATAAGTTCTCAGATAAATTTTGAAACTGTTTTTGCCATGGCAGAGCTGATCAGATAGAATTTGCTTCCCTCTATTTATTTGGTTGTTTCTTTTCATAAATTAATACATTGAGAGAAACTTGAGAGCATGGAAGAGCAAACAGATAAAGAAAAACTGTTCTCTGAGCAGTGGAATGCTAATTATGTTAGAGAAAAAAATAAAGAAAAAACATGAGAAGATTATCACAAGTGATAAAGCATAAAGTACCACACACACTTTTGTGCTAAGGAGAAATAATATCAGTATCACTGTCAAAACTTGTTTCATTTCCTAACTGAAATGGATAAAGACTGTCAATGGACTTGACCTTCATTAACTTTTTTTTTCTTTTGACACAATGAATATGATCTGAAGATTTCTTCCTCAAAACTACATGTTAGCAATCCTCAGAACTGAAGGCAGGATATAAAAGGAATACCCCAAATCTGAATAAAAGAGCTTGGATTTTCCAATATTTCATAAAGAAGTGCAAACAAGTTTAAAGGTGTATTTTCTGAATGTTTATCCATTGACTGTAAACAGAAAGGTTGTCAAACTTCATTACTTTAAAGACAACTGTCTGCACACCTCCCAGTGGATTCCCTGCTCTCCTAAATCACAACAGAAAAGGATTATCCTCCTTTGCTTTTCAAATTAGTCAGATGGCTTATGAGGTAAAACTGAGATAATAAAATAGCTATCGGTTTGAAGTCAGAAAGATTTAAGCCCAAAATAACCCTAATATAAGATTTAACCCCAAATAACCCAGTGGCTTGGTTAGAAGAGGTATCTGTGAAAAATAAAAAGTGCTAGTATAGAACATAGAGGCCAGTGCTTTAGTATGATTCCAGCAGCACTTCAGTTTAAGTGGAAAAAGGAGGTTTATTTGTCATATCACAAAATGCAAAGTGAAGTCCAATCTCCGGCCCACCACACCAAGCCTGTGAGAGTAGCTTTGGTAGGAAATGCTTATGACAAGGGAAGCAGCATCTTCTGGCTCCTCCCAGTAAAAAATCAAGCTCCTTTAGTCTGCCACTGCTGCCTTAAGGGGGACTTGGGCCAGTGATCAGGGGGTCCTCATGGTTGGCTCAGATGGGCTGTAACCTCAGCTCCTGCTCTCCAGGAGCTTGACATGATCACAGCTCACTTGTGAAAAAGGCATTTGAGATTCTATGGCCCCCTCCCTGCCCACCATTGCATCTGTCCATGGAAGCTAGGGAAATAAAAAAGTCCTGCTGAGCTTTGGTCTTTCCAGTCTGGGACATGTATCAGCTCTTCCCAGCTCATGGATTTCTGTCAGCAAATTCATTTGTGTGTTCTACTGAAATCAAATGGGCAGCTTGAAAAAAATAAAAATATATAAGCTATGGAGGCAGTTACTTTAAATACAAACAAAGTCTATAGAGGAAAATTTAATTTCCTCATTATCTTAATATGAAAGTGATAAGTATTTATCTACATGTTATTAAAAACAGAGCTAATCTGACCAAAGAATAGCAAACAAATCCAGTATTCAGAGGTAAAACTGCTAAGAATATTCTCAATGCATGTTTTTATTAGAAAATAAAATGAAGTACTGTATTCAAGTTACAAATGTTTTGAAAAGTAATTTTAATTACTTTGGTTTTCATCTTAAAAACTACTGGTTCCTAAGCACGGTATCATTGTCACAAAATCAGAAGTCTTTTAGATTGCAGCCCAAACACATATTGAAAAGACACAATAAAATAGCAATTGGGATAGAAAACTAGGTTTTATGATGGGTGCAGCATATAAAGGGGTGTGGGTAGGCAATTTTAAAATGAAGGAAAACTGTTACACAAAATCGTGCCTTTTTCCTTGTTATCTGAGTAAATGACTTATTAAATAGTATTAAAAATAAAGAGGCTGTCAGAAGCAAAAAAACCTACAGATGAATTTCCAAATCTCCAGTGTTTTAGAAAAATGTATTACTGTTTTTTTCTCCCTTCTACCTTGCCCTTAACTGAAATAAAACCATAGTTTACCACAAAGGTGCATTTTAAAAGCCTCTATACTCTCATGGTTTATGTCAAGCATAAAAGATTCTATGGGCATGTGGACTGAAGTTAAAGAATGAAATAAAAACATCGATATGGTCGATCTATGACTAAGGATACATCTGTAGCAAGCACAGCAGGAGACCTACTCTATTACACTCCCTCAGTGCTGGAGTGGCTGCTATCCTTTCCTTCCCCTTGGGTACCACAAACACTGCAGTCATACCAATGTGCAGGTCTTATTGACTTCATTTTCTGTTTCTTTTGAAATGTGATTGCTCACATTCATAGATAACAGCAGCAAGACCTGAACTTTATGTCCTGTATGTCTTGCTCTTTTTTGATAGAATTGAGACATTCCCACACAGCGAAACTGAAATTTATTGTTTGGTACATGTAGAGACAAATCATAATGGCCTGTCACATGTAAAGCAAAAAAATAAACCCACTTCACTGTCATAGAGCTTACAAGTCAGGAAGAAGAACTTGAATCATCTTTTTTAAATCAAAATAGAGATCAGTACTATAAACACACAGTTTCCTTTAATAACCGTTTTCCTACTTTATAAACATAAATCCTTACTGATGGGGAGGATCACAAAGATAAAGTATTTTCTAAGAAGATAGTGTGTAGATGGCTTCTTCAATGTCATTTTAAGACTGAGCAGCTTACAAAAACATAAAAAGCATTCCACCTTTGTGGATATAGATATTTTCCCTTCAAGTCAAGGCACTGGGATCACACACAAGCAAATCAAATAGCTGTTCAGCTTATATGCAAGCAAACTGCAAATGGGTGTGAGTAGATTAACAGGTGCCAGGGTCTATCCTCAGCTGGCAGCCAAGCCCCTCACAGCTGCTTGTTCACTCCCCCCACAATGGGACAAGGGAGAAAATCAGGAGGATAAAAGTTAAAAATCTCATGTGTTGAGATAAAGGCATTTAATGGGGAAAGCAAAAGCTGTACACACAAGCAAAGCAAAACAAGGAAGTAACACATTCCTAAGACCCTGCATAAAAGGCCTAGAAAAGCCTTGATCTGAGCATGAAGTAGAATAAATTGCACTGCCAATCGAGGGAGGTGATTCTGCCCCTCTACCTCCCCTGGTGAGACCCCACCTGGAGCATCCAGATCTGAAGTCCTCAGCATAGGGAAGACATGGACATGTTTAAGTGGGTCCAGAGAGGATCACAAAGATGACCAAATGGATGGAACTTCTCTCCTATGAGGAAAGGCTGAGGCAAGAGAAGGCTCCAGGGAGACCTTAGAGGAGCCTTCCAGTAACTGAAAGGAATCAACAAGAAATGGGGACAGACTTTTTAGCAGGGCCTGTGGCAATAAGGACAAGGAGCAATGGTTTTAATCTAAAGGCTAGATTCAGATTAGATCTAAGGAAAATGCTTTTACAGTGAGGGTATAACTCTCAAAAACTGTCACAGGTTGCCCAGAGAGACTGTGGATGCCCCATCCCTGGAGAAATTCAAGGTCAGATGTGACAGGGCTCTGAGCAACCTGATCAAGTTAAAGCAGTTCCTGCTCATAACAGGGGGGTTGGACTAAGTGACATTTAACGATGTCTTTCAACCCAAACTATTCTCTATGTTCTCTTACTTCTTATACTCCCTAAGTCACTAATGTATTTGCTTTAGGAGCTACTAGGGAGAGGTATATACAAATATATCATCCTCAAGTACTGTTCTCTGCTGCACTGAACATACATAAGCTATGGACTTTTCTGCATGGTTACCCTGTGGCTTGGAATTTCTTTAAAACATATTTATACAAAAATATTTATAAATGTTTATACAAAAAAAGTATCAAGAAACATAATGATGTTGCTGATGTTCTTCAAATTGTTATTACACTCCCTACCTTTTTCAAGTTTGGAACTGATTAGACATAGGGGATTTACTGGGTGCCATTAGTTTGGATATTTCAATCATGCATGTGCTTCTCACAAGATATCTGGTACTTCCAAAATTTCTGCCACAGTATAAAATAAAAATAAAACCAATACTCCCCATTTTTCTAAAGAAGATAAGAACTCATCATCAAAATGGTGGTGCACTTTGCTAATACCTGATTTTTAGTATGAGCAAGGAAGAGAAAAGCTCTTACTGGTAGCAACTTGTTTCCCTGCCTAATTTCAAAGAATATATGTACAGAAATAAACTGTAATCAACAGGACGATAGTAATAACACAGTTAACTGAAGATGTCCAGACTTTCCTTCTGAAGACCTAGAAGAAATCTCCATTCTAAACCAGAAGGACTTTGGCTTTTACTCATTAGAAATACAGCCCTCTACGG